GCCCCGGGGAGGCAGCAGACTTCCCTCAGACCCACCCAGAAGTGGGTCCAGTCTGTATACTGGACCTGCTGTTCCCCTCAGAAGGGAGTCTCCTATGACAACGAGCCATCATTTTTTTCTTTATGGAAGCAGTTTTGATACAGGTCATAGGCCGACTTAAGCTTGGCAACACCTCCAAGCTAGATGAACCATTGTCCTCATTATTGTTCGGTTCCACTTGCGGAGCCTCATACCTAACATGCAAGGGCACCTGGGAAGGTGGGGTAGTCACAGAGGAGACACGTCTGCTGCACTGGGCAGAAACTTGTCACCATTGGCCCCTATCCCTTCAGTCACCACATTCTGCCGGGTGGAGAGAGGATAGGGGGTCCTCCGTATCATGTGCCCTGTCTGCCTGACAGGTGTGTCCCAGGGCTGGTAGGGTGCAGTTCCAGTAGTCCATCTCCCTCTCAGGCTCCCTGATACTCCTCAACCTACTCACCTCCTCCCGGAGCTCTGTCACTAGGCTGAGGAGTTCCTCTCCCTGGGCGCACCTCCGACAGGTGTGCTCGCTGCTGCCATCCGGTGCTGGCGTAAGAGTAGGGCTCACCCTGCAGCCTGACACCTGGCTGGCAGCGTGTTCCCATCGGAGCTCTGTCTGGGAAGCTGCATCAGTTTCGGACATAGCCTTCTGCCGGGTAGATACCATTGCTCCCTGATTGAGCTGGCAGAGTTACAGCGCCCTTCCTGCGCAAACTGCCGTGCCACGCCGTGGCTGCCATGCCGCGCCCTGGCCACTAGCGCTCCCCAGGGGCTTCTTTTATAGGTGTGGGGGGCTTAACTGCTGTTGCTCCCGGCCCCGTCCAGGTCTTGTCAGCTGCTGTCGCATGAGTTGCAGACTCCTGGCGGGTCTCTCTGCTCCCCTGAGGTTTTCCCTGGTCAGGAAACCCCCCTGTGCACCGCGCTGGAGCGCTCCGCTGCGGATTGTGCCAGCACCGGAGCTGCTCACCTTGGCAACTGAAGCGACTGACATGTGGAAATGCAGTAAAACTACCACTGAAGGAAGGAAAAAAGCACCTCCAGGAAATGTCTGTGTGTCCTAGGAATTAACACCAATATAGAGATGAAGTGCCAAATCTGGCTTCAGGAAATATGGGGCCTGGACTGCAGCAACCTGGTTGGAATACAGAGGGAGCAGTAATGACCTCAGCTCACCCCACTACAACTCTACCATTTCCATGCCAAGATGCCTGGTTCAGGGCAGTCTGCAAAACCTTGTCATCACTTGCCTTAAGAACTGCTGGGCTTCTACAGCCTCTTTGATAAAAGCTGCAAATTCTAAGCTGAAGGTGGCTGAAGACTGACAGTGTCATCTTCAGGCCGGCCATGTAGGAGAGGCAAATTTCTGGATGGCCAGGGAAGGGATTAGAGCCTGCTCTGTTGCAACTCACCGTAATGTCATAGGCCACCTCCACATGGGGAAACAGCTGCATCGTCATGGTCTGTTTTTGGTAGGAGGGTGGTAAAGAGTTGATTTTAAAGGTCAGACTTCCGCTGTCTTATTTAGTAGTTTTCAAATATGGCTCTGGAGGTGTGTGCACGTTTGGTGGGGGAGGAAGACGGGGAAGAAAGGTCCACAGTACCAGTGATGCATGCTTTTACGATGAATCCTGTAAGGAGTTGGAACTGATGGTTTCTTCAGAAACAAAGATTTAACTTCACTGAAGTCAGCAGCAAAACCTTCTGTACCCGGTTTTTGCTCATTTCAGTACTGCTATTTGGAAAATAACAGTTTTAGAACCATTTAACTTAGAAAGCAATCTGGTTCTAGAAAAAACTGCCACTTCCAGAGGAACAAAACCACACAGGATTTATTTGGAAATGAAACTGAAATGAGAAAGAGAAAATACCACCTAGAATATTGGGGTTTTTTATGAATAAATTTTGCTTGTAATTTCTTCTGAAATAGTTAAGTTCATTTGTTAACATTAGTATTTGCTCTACAGAGACTGTGCACTTCCACAGTTTTTTACTACTTCTGCTGTTGATAGAAATGACTATATTATAGATTGTAAATATATAATTATTTTAAAATATTTCTTCCAGTAGAATAAATTCCATGACTGTTGTGGTTTAACCCGGCAGGCAGCTAAACACCATGCAGCCGTTTGCTCACTCCCCCCTGCATCAATTGGGATGGGGAGAGAATCGGAAAAAAAAAAAAAGTCAAATTTGTGGGTTGAGATAAAGACAGTTTAATAGGACGGAAAAGGAAGGGAAAATAATAATAATGATGATAAAAGAGTATACAAAATAAGTGATGCACAATGCAATTGCTCACCACCCACTGACCGATGCCCAGCCAGTCCCCGAGCAGCGGCCCCCCCCGGCCAGCTTCCCCCAGTTTATGTACTGAGCATGACATCGCATGGTATGGAATGTCCCTTTGGCCAGTTTGGCTGTGCCCCCTCCCAGCTTCTTGTGCACCTCCAGCCTTCTCAGTCGGTAGAGCATGGGAAGCTGAAAAGTCCTTGACTAGTGTAAGCACTACCTAGCAACAACTAAAACATCGGTGTGTTATAACATTGTTCTTGTCCTAAATCCAAAACACAGCACTGTACCAGCTACTAGGAAGGAAATTAACTCTGTCCTTGCCGAAACCAGGACAATGACCATGGACCCAGTTTCTTCATGCTTATGCATTCTGTCACAAAGACATGGCTAGCCTTGGATCCAAGATCCTTAATACTTCATAAATTATAAACAGCCATACATTGCGTACAGAAACTAAGTGGAGTCAGATCACGTACTGCTTGTGTAAAGTTTTTTGTTTTTTTTAAAGTAAGAGACGCTCGTTGCTGGGCTTTGAATAAGGTTGTAGAAAACAAACAAAAAAAAATTGGATCAAAGGCGCTGGGGCACTCCTGCGCTGTAGAGAATTATGTTAGCCCCAGAAAAACAAATGCACAGGGTGCAATAGCACAGTTCTGCCTGGCTAACTGATACTCTGCTTCCATGTCTCAAAACAAGAGTATCTGCAGCACATCAGCTTGTACCAGCTGCAGGTGCCCAGGCGCTGGCAGCAGCCGGGGGGGGCTGCAGGGTCGGCCCCTGTGAGGAGGGGCCGGGGCTGCCCCATGCCGGACACAGCTGGTTCCAGCCGGCTCCAAGGGCCCC